TGGGGTTGAGGCTGTTTTAAAAGGCTTCGTGCTGCAATCTTACCTGCTGTGACCTTTCATTAAAGGCTAATTGACAGGTCACCACCTCTAACAGAAGCGTTAAGCTGGACTTATAGAGACATAACCTCACTAAGGACTCAAATCCTTCACTAGGCTGCAGGACCACCTGACTAGTTTTTACACTCGCAGTGTCCCTCTAGCACTGTATACGACGGTCGGCTTCTTTTCCTCAAACTAGTTGTTGCAGATGCATACAGTATGTGCTTTTGTAATTTGGTTTCCATCATAACGCTTTGAAATAGGAGTTATTTCAGGTCATTGAAACTTTCACTTGGTTGAGAACACAGGACTTCTGTTTGATGTTACTTCCATGATTTTACAGAAGAACGCAGTTAATCTCTTTAGAGACAGGCTAACAAGAATATAATTTATTTTCTTATGCATTGCATTATCACCACAGGTTTCTGAAGCACAAAATGAAGGTATATATTTTACTTATACCGAAGTATTGTTTTTAACATGTTCAATTTCCCTTCAAAAGAGGAATCATTGCTTGTAGCATTTGATAACTCATTGTAATAGTCCCTAATTGAGAGTCCTGTAAATGACTGGCCAAGTAGGTTGTAGTGCCATCTCAGTAGTGTCCTTTATGCTATGCGATGGTTGGCTGAAACACGTTTGTTGCCAAATTACTGTAAATTTCTGCAGCTATAAAAAACAATATGTTATTTCAATGTTTAGGGTATGAACATGTTCAATATAAAAAGACAGTATTTGCAGTAAGAGCTGCAAGAACTCCACAGAGTAAATTCCATAGTGCGCCAACCGATGAGCACGCCTGGCAATGTGTATTTGCGAGTCCACAGTGCTAAAATCCTGGTTGACTCTATGGCATGGTGCACGCTGGACAGAACAGTGGCCCAACACTGGTTGATGACGTAAATTGAAAAACTTTCAATTGATGATGGTTTTGTTTCCTGCTGTTGTATGTTTCTAACTTTTTGGATTTCTTCTTTAAAACTGCTGATTTTTGTTTCTTTCAAAACTATTTTACTGTGACAAAACCAGAATGCCGAAATCATTTCTCTAAAACAAGTGCAAAAAATACTTTTTATGATGTGTTAAAAAAGTTAGGTATAAGAACACTGAAGTTATAAATAGGGTAAATGTTTAGTTTATAATCTCAGATTTCTGTCCTCCAGGGCCTGACTATCAATTGCCTCTGAACAAAACGCTCATTAATAAAGGACTCTCAGAAGATGTGAAGAGGACCTCTTGGAAGTGTGAAACGCATTTCTGGGAATACGGCCCTACATTCTTACAGCTTCTGCAAGCAGCCATGACAACAACATTCCTATGAGAATTTGGTTCTGTTTAGTGAACAAAACATCCCCTCTCCTTTTTGATTAACCAGTTTGATAGCTGTGAATTCACCAGGATCCAAAGATTTAGATGTGTCTCTGGAAAAAATCAAAATAGGATTTTTTTTCAAAAATGTAATGCTAAAGTGGTTATAGTTGTTTTGTAATACATTAAAATGCTGTCTCTTTCAATTGCTTATTATAGTTGCATGCTAAGGAAATCCTCCCAGTCACATTGCTTTATCAGCAAGTGGTGTTTCAGAACCCTTAACCTCCCACGAGAACAAAAAATGTAGTTTTAGACAGTATAATGTTTTGTGTAGGAGGATGTACTGTAGTAAAAAACTCCTTGTAGCCTTTTATTTCTTTGTATGTGTGTAATCATCTAGTTGAATCTCAAAGGTAAACATTTTAACATATGTCTTGGTAAATGCCATCTACTTCAGGATCAAAACATTTTTTGTGAAAAAAGTAAATGTGCCACAAGAAGAAAATGCAGTTAACATTAGCTGGTATTTTCTCTAAAATGTTAAAAACATGTCTGAAAGGACTGAACAACAGGAAGAAATTTAATAAGTGTAATGACTGATGAGGATCACCCAGCTGGATGTAGTCAGTCCCTTCCAATGTGTAAATTGCTTTGGGATCCTTGGTGGTAAAATAGATCTGTACAAATGCAAATATTTAGAATATGATTTTGTAATTTCCATTACATTAATAACTCCATTCTGGTGGAGCTGCAGTACAGTATATAATTATACTGTGTTAGTCTTTGTTCTCATTTATCCCTGGATCCGTTAGGCAATCTCTCAGGATCCACCAATGGATCCTAGTTCTCCTGTTGACCACCACTTCTCTGTGCTTATGGTTGTGCAGCCACGAGACATGCAGTAGGCCTTCATCTCCTCAGACGGAACAGTTGCTGTGCCAGCCACACTCTTATGGACTCTGAGGCACACTCACCAGGGAATGTATACCTTGAATGTAAATACAGCCATCCTAGCAGGTCTCCAAATTGTATCTTGGGAGTTGTAGTCCTTTATAACCAAGAAGAACTGCAGATTTCCCAGGAGAGGTTCTGAAGCGCATAATGTTTTCCATCCATGAGAACTAATACTGGGAAGAGTCCAGACTTCTTCATGTTTAGCTGAAACACGGCATCATAAAAATGACACATTTTTGCTAAAGTAGGTTCTTCCCCCTGGGCATCTTTATTTGGCTCAAGCCAGTGTATCTCGTGGGTAGGTGTGGGCTGGTAGTTGTACACCAACTCAAAATGCTGAGACCTACCTGTACATGTGCCAGTTTTTGAAGCATTTGAATGCCTGGCACTGCTAACTTGTCTCCAGCTTTTGTGGTTGTATACGGGTCATCAAAGATGTGAGATTCCGTGTTTTTCTGTTTGGCATTCCTGGTGCCTAATATCGCAATGCTTTTAATTTTAAGAGATGTTTATATATATGGTTTATAGTTTTTGTTTTGTATTTATATTTCGTATTCCCCACACAGACTGTTGACTCGCATCTTTTTGCCACGGTTCTGTATTCTCTTTTTTTTTTTTTGCTTTAGTTAGCATTTGAAAATGCCCACACAAAATACAGATACCTGATCTGTGCTTTGCCTCTTAGTGACCTGCACGTCACCGCATTGTGGATCATCTAGCCGTTTGTTTTGATCTGGTCGTTCTGTTTACTACTTGCTGCCTTAAGCCTGCTATAAAGTTTTACAGCATCAGGCCTTTTAGTTCAGAATTGTTTTCTAAATCCAGCTAGACCTGAGGACACCATTACCTTTCTCTTTGTAGCATTTTAGATTGCCTGGGATCAGAACAAAAAACAAAGTAGTTGACTTTATAAATGACTCTCCTTGGTAGATGAATCAACTTTGCTACATGAGATCTCATCGGCAACCCCAGTCTAAATGGAGGGATACCTGCCTGTCTGTTCATTTACAGTACTTGCTTTTTAAGAGTGCCAGTAGCCCCACAGTAATACACTGTCACAAGTTCAATTTTTTGGAGAATCTAATGAAAGAAAGAATAATCCTCAAACCATCCATCCCTTTCCTAACTGTAATATCACAGGGCACACACAGACACAAACGCACGACACACACACTCTCATACCAGGGTCAGTTTTCCCAGAAACCGATTAACCTTCAGTATCAGCATGTCTTTGGACTGCGGGAGAACACTGAAGTTCCCGGAGTTCCCATGCAAACGCGGGAAGAACATACAAAGTCCACACAGACAGCACCCCAAGAATTGAACCCAGGGCCCCGGCCTCGCAAGACAGCAATGCTAATCACTGTGCCACAATGCCTCCCCTGTGTCTATATCATTTGTAGTTATGTTGGATTTGCATAATTTCATAATTAAATCTTCCTATCATAAAGACCAATTGATAAACCCAAAACTGATGCTAAAAACAATTTGTTAATTAACACTGGTGATATCATTTGAAAATCCTCTCCTGTGTGTTTCATTAAAACTGGTGGCTGTTTTGTAAAAATATTTTTGTGAACTGACTTGTCTTTATGAGAGGTTCTGCAAAGGCTAGATGTTTGATGTGGTGAAACAAATGTTTAGATACACTCTGAGATTATCCTGAAGGTGATGTTATCATCAGTAACTTGATATAATCTTTTATGCTGTGTCAATTGGTATGTTGAAATTCTCCCCGTGTGTGCCTGTCCTGGGATGGTCTGCTGTCCCTTATGTTTCCGAGATATCTCGAAGGAATACCTGGTTTGGGACTGCTGTGTTCCTTACCAGGCTTTCTGTAAATAGACAAAGGGATTATGGATTATCACTTAGGAAATATGGATCTTTATGAAAACATAAGCAGTGCTGTTTTTCAGTTTTTACTTAGAAGAGCTTTGAAAGACTCCAATTTGAAGAAAATGTAATAAGCACAGAAAACTGCAAAGGGTTGTGCTTAAAGTATTCAAAATCCTTATATTTACAAAGTCAATATGAGCTTCTTCATAATCGAATCTGTAGTATAGTATAAACCAGAGGATACAAATGAAAATTATGGGAAATGGCTATCAATACTGAGAGCAGGGGACACATCTTTAAGAAACGGGTTAGGGGAGTCTGGTACAGCTTACACATCAATGTTATTGAAGCTCATACCATTATAATCTATAAGAAGCAGCTGAATGAGACCCTTGGGTCAGTTACTGTAGCTAGCAAACACATGGGATTAATGGGCTGAATAGACTCCTCTTGTATTCAGCCTTTATTTAAATTGCAAATGAAATATGTTTATGCATTAATACTGTACCTTTCCATTTTTTTGTAATCTAAAGGATAGATGTTTTGTGAATATGAGTATTGTGTATATCAATAGCAAATCATTACGAAATGCAGAATATTCACATGTATATGAAAGGGCACAGACAAAAACCTCTCTGTAATCATGGCCAATCCAGCCTTTGCTAGGAGTAGCTATTACTTACGAATAACAGTAACGTAAATGGGTAACACTATTTGATAAGCCAATGGTTTTGGGTAGATGGAGAATTGCTTTGATATCTACAATCCATTAATCAAGCAAATCTTCAAGTGAACTTTGTGAAAGAAGGTTTGACAAAACCGATGAATGTAATCTTTTGATTTACTTCTATCTCTTACAGGCAGAAACATTCGTTTGGGTCAACAGCACTTCGCCACATGCTCAAAGCGTTGCAAAAGCCAAGTATGAGTTTCTCTTTGGGAAAGTAGAGGAGACATGCTCTTCAGACAGTGGTATGGCACTTCTTTTGCTTTTTTAAATGTAAATTAGAAATTAATGGAAATATATCAAAATAGTTTTTACAGATTTTTTTAGCATTTGGCATGGATGTTTCCTTTTTATATTGAAGGATTTTGAGAATTTTAGACTTTCAGTTAAATACTGGAAATACAGAACTATTTATCGCATTAGAAAGTCCAAAAAAACAACAACCTGACATTAATCTAAAACACATGTGTCTTTAATGCGTTCATTCTTAAACTTGGAATGTATTTCAGTTTTTTGCACACTTACCAATAGAGGTCTTAATTAATTAAACTTTTGCAGAAATTTTGGATTTGAAATAGAAATGAATAATATAGTTTAAGTGAAAACCGGAAAATAGGAATATTTAAGTCATCTTCAGCATGCGTCCTCATTTTCCTTCAAAAGAAGCCTGTTTTCTTCAATGGGCTGAGTGATTCACTATGATTGTATCATCAATTAACAAGCCAGCTCTAATCATCCAGCAAATGTAGTCTGCATTTGTCTGTGGTTTGACCAGAAGCCAGAATCATGGGATTTGTTGTTTCTGACTGCTCCTGCTTTGTGTCTGACTATCAGTGATGATTTGCTCTGGGTTAATCTCTAGGTGCTTCTTGGCAGTCATATTGCCTGTGGTAGAATTGGCTCTAATGTTTAAGGACTTAATAATTCTTTCCATGTAGGCAGTCGTGCCATGGATAATGGTCACAATACAGCTGGGTGAGGAGACCTGCCCATTAGGGACTACGATGTTTTCAATTTTCCTGTGTAAAGTATTGTTCATTATCCCAAGTCACTAAAAACTCTACTTGTCACAAATTTAAAATGCATCTTCTCAATGGATTTCTTGAACTACTGGATACAGTACTCATCAACAGGCTTGATCTTGAAGATCTAGTGGTTCTCAGCCCTACTTCTGGGGCACCACTTTGCCTTCTAGTTTTTGTTCTGGACAAGTCCTTAATCACAGCCTAGTTGATTTTGGTTTTCAGTCGGGGGCATGTACAGTATATAAATTTGTTTTCAGGTCTAATTTATATTAATCCTGTACCAATTTTCTAGTCTCACAACTGCTTACATTTAGGAACGTTACTTGAACTGTAACCAATTGGACCTCAGCACAAAAAAAAAAAAGCTATGTTTTGTTCATCGTAACTCTCTTATTAAGAGCTGTTTAGTCCAAATTGGAATAAACATGTTGAGAAAAAGGCTGTATAAAGTTTTGTGTGATGAAGATGTTGGAAACACTTGAAGTAGGCTATTTTAAAAACTTAGGACTGAGTAAAAAAAACAAAATCTAAGCCCTGAATAAATAGCCAGATCTATAAAAGTAATCAATTAGCACTATATATTTAGAGTTGAATTGTAAAAAAAGCAGCAGAGATTGGTTCTCCTGGACTGGGGTGCTTCCGGTTCAATCTTGATTAGACAGTGAACGTACTGTATGTGGAGTTGTCCTCACACTCCTTTGTTTTACCAGTGATTTAGTAAAAATTTAGTAAAAGGTGCACCTGAAGAAGGCTCCACGGCTGAAACGTTGTGTTTTCTTTCTTCTCGTCAGCATGGAATAAACCTATTACTTGTTCCTTTGCAACCTATGCATGCTGACGCAGCTACCCACCTGAACTACTGTATGTGATATGTTGTGCAATTTCACGGCTCTCTTTCATTTTCATTGAAGTAAGGAGTGAATGGCTTTACAATAGTGTAATAGATATACTTAATTCCTATGATGTGTAAGATCATGTCTAATTTTTCTTGTAAAAAATGTTTCCTCCATTGTCAGGATATCTAGAAGGACAGGAAGGATAAACAGTAGTGTATGTGAGGTGCTCCTTGCTGTTAGGGTTGACCTGCTTCACATGTTGTACTTTAATCCAGTAATAGTTCACATCTGGAACTTTCATGCAAATTGAAACAAGATCCAGTGCTTCAAATCATTTTCTTTTATATCAAGCAATAGCTCAGACGTGTCTCCAAATGAAAAATGTCTTTGTCTTGTACTTAGGATCCCTTTGATTAGATCTGACAATGTAGTACATTGTCCTAAACATTTAGTTTGCACTTCAGCCAAAATCATTTGGCTGTGCCATAGTAACAGAAGCATTGACTAAAAGTATTTTTGATAAGATCTAAAGGAGCAGTTTAATCTCATTCCATGTTTCCTTATCCTTCCCATGAAATTTATAAATTTGTTCTCTCCATGTTGTAGATCCACGTACTAGCTACAGTAAAAAGTTGCAAGTGACAAGATTCTGAACATTGGAATGAGAAGAAGTTTCCCCAAAAAACTGTTTCAATTCTCCTCACATCTGCATTCACTCCCCTGTTTGGTGCTTATTCTGAGGCTTTAAGCAGGAACTGGAAATCCCCTTAAAACACTTGTAACTCTACTGTATGTACAAGTAAGAACGTAGCAGGAAAATGTGGAATTCATAATCAGACATGCATCAGAAACTATACGGAAGTGCATTAAAAAATGAAGCAGGAGGCACTTCGAGGGGGTTGTGGGAGTCTGGAAAATGCTATCCAGCCACATGGTTGAAGGTTTCTTTCAAGAAATGGCTGGATGAAATCATTACAGTAGATAAATTAGCTACTGCCAAATGGGCTAGATGGGCTAAATAGTTTTGCCTTGTTAATTTATGCAATCGGAGAAACTGGGTAGAAATACTCAGTTTGTTTCTTAAGTTGGTAAAGGAATTGTAAGTGTGTACTCAAGAACGAGAACAGGTGACCCCTAATAAATAGTATCTTTTACTTTAAAATACTGCTACGCATTAAAATAAAACTAGCTAATAAACTTTATTTGTGCAGAATTTGTTTTTTCATGAAGAAGTACAGGTATGTGTGAATTTGATTGTGGCAAAAAACGTGATTCAGGGGTCTCTGGGATGGTTTATTTTGGTTTGCGATCAGCTTTTCTGACAAACGCGCATGTGCAATTGTTAGAACTTGAATGTAAGATGAAATCTGTCAGAAACATCAGTGGCTAAACCAGTAAAAGTACTACGTTCACTGTGCATGCTGTTCAATATAAAATCCCGATGCAAAGCACAGACTTTAAAAAAATGTTATCATCTGTGATAGAGATTGCCCAGGCAGGGGTACAGTCATGGGCAAGTGATGAAGTGACGGTGAAGTGAGGATATACCGTATACTGCTTGCTGGGCACCTGTGAGTCTGCATGCTGTTTCTTAATGAATCCTGCATTTGTCCTCTATTTTGTGCTAACAGTACTATGGGCTCACAATGTGCTGAACACCAGACACCTGTGTCTGCTACTTTTGCCCAGTGTGCTTTCTCTGGTAGCACTCTTTGATAATACTGATACTGTGAGTTAGGCTCCTCGGTTCGATTTTGGCGGGTGGTGTCTGTCTGTGTGGAGTTTGTGTGGATTATTTCAGTGCATCCTAGTTTCCTCCTAAAGGCATACAGTGTCACTCTAATTTGTCTTATTCTTCTTGGCTCTATGATGGACTGGCTTCTTGTCCAATAGGACAACACAGTGTTGATGCAATCTGTGCTTATGGGACAGACTGGTTTTCCACAACCCATATCAGGATAAGCACCTTTCTGCTCTGGGATGAAAGGGAAAATAATTGGTTAGTGTTTTCCCCTAACAGCTATGAAAGATTTTGGGTTATTGCTGAATGTGCATTCCAGTACACTTGTTGTATATGGCAAATAAAAAAATCTTCAATCTTGAATGTGTACTCACTGTGAGGGTTAGACATTTCTTAACAAAATCAGGACTTCCAGCTCCCCTTTTAATTTCATGTATGTATGCATCTTAGCGCTAGCTTTAAAACCCATACCACACCCAGGGCTGCAGTCACTGACCTGATCTACTACAGATGTGGCTTTTAAAGAAGGCAGCCTAGGCACCCTCTTAGCAACTTCACCGCAGAGTGTATTGGAAATCATGATCCAGTCAGCACAGACACCCTATATTGCATCAGTGCATTATCCTGCTCTGCCCCTCAGCCTGCTTTTAACACTAATCTTCAGAGTGGTGAAATGGAAACAAATCTCATTATCCTCCGGATGATTTCTGAAGTACTCTTGGTAAAATAAAATCTTAATAACATTAAGGTCTTTCTGTAGATCGTCACTTTTGCTGTTTTATCCTCCTTGCATTATATATTTACACCCTTCATACAGTATCTGTAGAAAAAGACATAAACCATTTACAAAATTTGCTGTACTCTCCACACTTTTCTACCATAATGTTTCTCATCCCAATCGCTTTTCTTTGCACGTTTAACCACATATTCCTCTTATTTGTGTACTTTTTTCCATAGTCTGCGAGTAAGGATTCATTTTTTAGCATTAGGTTTCATTGTGTTACTCTATGTAGGGTGACATCTGTTTTGATTTCTTTCAATCCCTGAATAAGGCATCATAACTGAGTAAACCACTTTAATTTGTAGCTTCGGAACAACTAAGCGAACATATTTTGAACTCGGAGTTAATCTGTTTGTGTGCATTGAGGTTCCTAAAAAGCAAAACCATATTTAGCAAAGCTAACAGTATTTGTTCTCAGACTGAAGAAAAATAAATCTGACTGTGGTCCCATCTTGATAGTGACGATTCTTATAATTGTTTAGTTGTAGACTGTCACCTGTATACCATGTGATTTGATGTACTTATTTCTGTTTATTTTAAATTTGACTACTGTATATCTATTCTCTCACTTGAACAATCTTCAAATTTTCCTCCTCCATATTCTGGTTATTCATACAAATGAGGACACTTGGTTGATTCATGTGGTAGTAATTTGTTTAATGTCGACTCCAGACTTTTGTGTAAAATGTTTCTGAAGTCTGCTTAAGCATACACTAATTTATTCAGCAAATACAGAGAATCTAACCTATCAGTATCCTTTTTAAAAACAATGACATTCCAAAGCCAAAAGTTAATAGTAACAATAATATTAATAGCAGTAGAATGTACTTTGCATTAAACCATCCAATGGTCACCTTTAATGTTTTCTTAAACCTTTCAGATATATTCATTTTAAGAATGTTCATCTCCTTTCATTCATGGCTTAGATAAGGGAGAAGACTGAACAGCTGCTGATTGGTTAAATTTTGCAACCTCCTCTGGGTAGATTATGTTATAGTGCTGGGCATTTTAAAAGGATTCTGCAGTTATCGTGTTTCCTGGAAGGAGACATTATACCTAGAGCCTAGACCAAAATATCTTTTGAGAAATGCTTCTGTTTCCTCATGTACAGCCAGGTATGTTTGTTTCACAGTGCCACTTAACTGTAAAAGGTCTCTTTACAGGATCGCATGGATTCTGGTGTCATTCAGTGCCTCCTAACAAGCTTATGTGTGTTATGTGACGTCAGGCACTTGCAATGTTCAGTCACTCCGATGTGTAGTTGTCGTATTAGTTGAGGCATTGTTTTCTTGTGTTAAAGATGTGCCGCATAGATAGAAGTTGATCTTTACTTCCCCTGTCCTTTGGACTGTTTTTTATTGACCCCTAGAATGTTGCTTAAGTCTTCGGGTGTCAGAATCCTGAGAGTTTCTAATCAGGCTTAAGGTTAAAGTGGTACAGTACATCTTATAGGAAGCACATCGCTTAGAAAAGATACTTTGTCGTCTGCAACTGTGGAAATTTGTTTTGTTAAGTTAATAAATGCATACATTATATCGGTAGTATATTTTCGTTAATAAGTGTGTTTAACACGGCAGATAGCTGCTATTATAATCAAATACTGCCATCTAGTGAAATGTAATGAAATAGGTCTTGTTTAATGGAAAAATGGTGTGATTCTTGGTTTCTTTTTCATTTATAATACTATTAAAGTTTGTGTTTCTGGGTGGCCTGGTTGTGCTGTGGTTAGCATGGCTGCTTCACAGAGCTGGGACTGTGGGTTCAGTTCTGACCTGGGGAGTGGGTAGGTTAATTAACTGGCTTCTGGGAAAATTAGCCCCGGTGCGAGTGTGTATGCGGCTGGGGTATGCTGCTTTATGCCTGTGTCTTGCCAGGATAGGCTCTGGCTCTCCTGTGACCCCGTATTGGATAAAACGGTTAGAAAATGGATGGAAGGATAATGCTTCTTTTCCGTTTACTCAAAACTGTGTTTGTAACTTGACACCTGTATCTTTTGGGTGTGTAAACTGTTGGCTCTATATTAATTAAATATTTGCAAATCCTTGTCCCAAAGTTGTTTTGTTGAAAAATATTAACAGCGTAACGTCATCTCTACTGTATGTAACACCTAGTTCATGAGTCTAATCTTCTGAACTGGCCTGTTCCCTCCTGAAATTCTGCTGAGTTTGTGACCTGTCCAGTTTCTTCTTTGCCCCCTGTGAACCTAACCTCTGACTAATGCTGATCTGCTGATTTGCTTACCTGTGTTTCATGGGCTGTCAGGTCACAAAGACGTATCTGAGACCCCAAAAACTTGAATGCCGATCAATTTAAACTGTTTCTAGTCTGTGAGGTGTGGAGTGTCGGCTACATTTCCCACGAGTTCTGTCTGAAGGTAATATACTGTAGCTGGCTTGATTGCATAAAGTTTTTTTTAAATACTTTGTGCTATTTTTACTGATTAATAAGATTAATAATGATTCATAAGAGTGCAATGATGTTTTGTTGGTCTCAGAAACAAAATCTAAAATTAAATATAGCTGTGTTTGGTTACTATGTTTTCTACATTTTACACTACAGTGATTGTGTTGTAGGTTTAAGTCGACCTAAGAGGGGAAAAAAAAACTCTGGTTGTAATGAGTACTTACCAGTCATTACAAAAAAGGTGTGGTACTTCAAGTATCGCACCAAACCTGTTTCACAGGACTTCAGATTTTTGTATACCTCTTTCTTCACATGGAATGTTGAGTGTAAATTGTGAAGCTGGGCTGCTTCTTTGTGTACTGTACTGTAGGTACTTGGTTTGTGCTCAATAGAAATAACAACTCCCAGTCAGATATTATGTCCTATTTCACCTGAACTTAATTCTTGTCGTACAGGTTTAAAAAATACAGATGTTCTTTTAATAAAATTAACCATGTAAATATATACCATGCATACAACATATATTTTCCATCAGGTTATACAGTAATAGGAGTTACAGTATTGTTATTCTGTGTGAATACGTAGACATCTGAGGAAGACATCAGCTAATTTCAGTTTCATTATTAAAAAAAAACCTTGCTTAAAAACCGCCACTTAATATGCTGCTTTTGTGTTGCCCAACAACCACATTGACTTGCTTTTTACATCTATTTCATAAAACTAATACTGTTTAGTGCAGTGTAGTTCACACGTGCACAAAGGCAACCTGGAATGAGCTTACTTGATATATTGTTCTTTAACCACTTTTGTAAGCAAAGCAGTTGGTTGTAGAGAAGACTGCAGCATGTTCACCACATTACCTGATGTGTTAAAAAAAGTTCACACACTCAGACGTTGTTGGAATACACCAAGTCATGGTCACACTTGTAAACCATGTAGTTTCACCACTCAAGTAGATGAGCAAAATCAATGTCCAGTTCAGACAGTGATCTGTATACTAACTCTGATGCAACTGTCAATTGTATTTCAGTTTAGCTACTTTTGGTGGAATTTTGTGCACTTTAGTTTGAAATATGAAGCTTTTTTGTGCAATCTGAAGCAATCTTTGCAGGTCTCATTCCCACATTATGTCAGAATACCAGTATTCGCTCCCATACATCTAAACGTTTTTTTCACAGGAATGATCAGAAGCATTTTGAATTGAGACTTGAAAGTAGTGGAAATGTCATATTTGTGGCCAGTTTGCTCACTTTTCCAGTGAAGTCATCGATCAGTGTGCTTTTGGCTTGTGTTGCAACAAAAGCTGGATCTTTGTCTGAAAACCTCAGCGGTGCTTTTAAATTGAGAGTTCTGTTACCTCTAAGCAGGGTTTATATATCCCTTAATTATGTCTGTTGCTCCCATTCAGCTTGAGTCTCTTTTCTGTTGTTGCTGGTGACCTGCTTTTAGTAGCCTTAATTGTGCTTTTCCAATGTGAGGGAACAATCTGTTCAAGTTTCTTATTCTCCTAACTCTGTGTTTTGCAGAGATCTAATATTTTGGGCCGTGTTTGAGATGACATGCAGTTTTACAGCAATGTGTAAGGAATTGTCTGAAAGTAGTTTGCAAAGCTTTCTTGAATGCTAGATGCATCTTGCATGACTGTGTGCTCTTTCTTTTTTGAAGCACCCCAGATTTTCAGTGAAGCTGTCCAGTGTAGTTTGTTTCTAAGCCAATACAGTACATGGAGCTGGACATGCTGCTAATTTTACTTTGCTTTGGCAAAGCACAGTACTTATAACTCATGAGTGGTGCTGGAAACTAAATGCGCTGACCTTGTATGAAACTACAGCTGAGATTGCTGTTCATTGACTTGTAACCCTCCTTCAAATCTGTAATCTGTAATATTTTACATAATCTGTTTTATGTAACCAGGACATCATTTCTCAAATGCTCAAAACAATCCCTGCTCAAATCCTTAGTTTATTAATCAGATCCATTAATCTCTGACTTGGAAGAGCCCCAAAATGTACATATAACACTCAGAAATAAAAGGAGGTTGTGTATTTTATTAACCAAATGCTAAGGCCAGTATTACAAAACAGTATTTTGTGCTATTCATCTTTTTCTTTGCATTTGGAATTCCGTTTTTAAAAAAAAAAACCCGTTGCTGTAAGTATTCATTTTATTGATCAATGATAATAATATTCCACTTTTACCTTATAAACCAAATTCCAACAGGCTTAAGGAATAATATTTTCTGAAGATAATGAGTTTTATTATTGGCTTAATTAATGTCTTAACCTTATTATCACATATCATCAAGCATATATTTAGGTCACATTCATTATGCATTTAAATAAACAAGGTAATAATGTGTTACATTTAATCAATAATTGCTGACAGTTGTCTAATAAACAAGTAAAGGATTATTCCATGCTGAAAAAAGAAAGTAAATGAATCACACACCCAAAGAAGGCTCTACAGCTGAAACGTTGTTTCTTTTCTTCTCTTTTCAGCATGGAATAAACCTTTACTTGTTCCTTTGTAGCCTACACATGCTGACGCAGATGCCTACTTGAACTATGTTGTCTAATAAACTAATTGTATTATTTGTGTTTTTTGTCTTTCAGTTTCAACAGGTACTTACCACCTTCCGCCAGCGGAGGACAGCAGTGCTGGGTTTGCCACCTCTGTACAGTATGGCCCCATTCAAGGCAGTGGAGGGGAGTCTTCTCAGCAATCGGTGGCTCTGGAGCATGATACACAAACGTCCCAATCACTAACTGCCATCCTGGGAAATGAGTGTCGAGACGGCAGTTTGAATTTGAACACAAACTCAGAAGAAACATGCAGACCTGCCAAAGTAATCTCAGCCATGATCCACTTAAATGGATCTAGTGCAGATCGACTGAGCGTGGCTCATCAGGGTCAAGAGCTGCAGCCGGAGGTCGAACAGGGTAAAGAAATGGAAACGTCCAGATTAGAAAACCCTGGAGAAGGGCTTTCAGCCACCAGTCTGATTGCTTCACCCCAAAGTGAGGTACTGACAAAGGATACGGTTTCTGTGGGCTCAGCAGCAGTGGAAGCACATTCCACAAGTGCCGAAGTAAGAGGAGACAACAAGAATGCTCTTACCAGCCAAGGAAAACTGTTAGACATGCTACCTCCAGCTGAATTAATATTTGGATGCGAGGCTCCGGTACCCACAGGAGCACAGCCCGACGAAGGAGCTGTGAGAGGAGCAGAGACTGAGAGAGTGGCGGTTGCTGCTGAGGATGCAGTTGGGCTCCTGGAGCCTTTGGACGAGTCCAGCAAAATACTTGCCGAGATCCCCGAGATTTTAGCTGCCTTTCTGGATGGGGCACAGGCCAAGGAAAAGCCGCCCAAGAAAATCCGGTTTATGGAACACAAGGCAGAAACTCTGGAGGGCCCAGAAAAAGTCGGAGTGGCCTTAAGCGGGACCTTGGAAGTCGAGGGAAGGAGAGAGAGGGGTCAGGGAGGGGAGCGGCCGTCCTGTGTTGTGAAGGCGAATGGCTCAGCGGAGGCTTATCGGAAGACCTACGGCTCAGAGGAAGGGTCCCCTGTTCCTGTGCTGGGCACGGTGGACGATGAGGTGTTTGGGATTGTTCCCGAAGTGTGCATAGAGAGCCCTGAGAGCGAGATGGCATCTGTGATAGGCCCAGCAAGGTAAAAACTTTCCCTCGTTTTAAATTTGTCTCAGTTTCTTATGAAAATGCAAACTAGTTTGGTAAAGTAACGTTTTCCAAGCTGTGGGGGCTATGGTGGTAAAGTGTGCAAGGACTGTGGAGAAGAAGATCTTCTGCTCAGGGGATTAAATCGTAGTGAGAAAAAAACCTTTTTCTGAAGACCTTCATACCCTCAAACCTTAGTATTATTCCGTGACCTAAAATACTGTACTGTATGCCAGTCGAAAAGATGAGAAAGAGAAGGTACAGTATGGCTGTGCTTTGTGTGTACACTAGCTGGAACATCTGTTTTTCAGTATCTTATGTATCTGTTGTGATACATTGGTAGGATTTATAAATTAACCAGCTAATTTCTAAATTCTCCTGCTAATCAGTCAGATTGTAAATAAACTGCTTAATGTGTAAAATTGGCCAACTGGTGAGACAATGTACAGTATAACTTAATGCAAAATGCTTAATCTGTAAATCAGTCTGTAAACAAACAGCAGGTGGTCCTTAAAATTGAAAGGCACTCTTCTCCACCACTGTTTGAGGTGGAACTGATACTCTGTATGTGGTACTGATGAATATGTAGAGTCTCATTAGACCAATTAGTATACCATACTGTAAGTCTTTTTACATTTCCTTGTATTGCCAAATTAACAAAATATTTATCAGGTGGTTTTATCCAAGGTGCCACTGGATAAAGAAATAAACCACAATATGTTGGTGATTTCTGAGATTTTTTTTTCTTATATTTTTGGTACATTTTCTGTTTTTGTGCCATTAGGGTCCTTAGATTAAAAATATAAAAACCATTCCCGTATATTTAATTATTTTCGATAGATTATTCTCTTTTTTTACAAAAATATGCTTAAAAAATGTGATAAAAGTGGCTAGAAGTTCAATATTAATTTAATTTTTTAAAATGACAGCTTAGAGGAAGCTGAGAAACAAATTGTAATGTGAATCTTGTACTTGTGATGGCTGTTACGTCCTTTAATTTACTTTATTGTGCACCATATTTCTGTAGGTCTCCAGAATATTCCTATGTGCTAAGAGACAAAGCTATTGCAGTCACATATTTTACTCACTTTTAATGTGATTGGCAATTGTTTTTTTCCCACTGCCTTGATAAATTCAATGTAATTCACTGCACTACAATCAAGGTTAACCTACAGAGGTACAAACATTAACCTGTATTGCAAATCTCTGTTTTGTATTTGGGGGAAAAAAATCACTTAAATATTGAACTTCTGAACCTCGGTTAGTAATCATGCAGATTCTGGGCAACATGTAGGTGTAATACATTTCTAAAATTCTGAATACATTTCTAAAACGTCTAAAAGCTGGTTTAAACACCCAGCAAATCACAGTTCCTATCACTTCTGTTCTCTTTGTGTAGTCCAAGAAAAAGGTTTGAAGATGCGTATAAATAAAAGATTTGCTCTTAAAGAGCAGGGAACTGAAAATACCATAAAAGCTTGTGAAGACATCTTTTAATCCAGTAGAAATATTGCTCTCGATTTATAGACCGTTTTGCCCAAAAATACTACTCTCTTGTTATCTCTGCATGCGGGTCACGTTAGAACATTTCTGCTGTGAAATGTCTTCTGCACCACCCGTATTTATTTGCTTGTAGATCACATTACAGTAGTGACTAGTGAGCAGGAAGGGCCACATCACATCCAAATTAGTGGTAAATCGAATGCGACAACATGACGGCTTATAGTACTTTCACAAAGTTCACGATTTTGTGCTAATTCAAAATTTGTAACATTTTTCTGTAACATCAGTTAATTTATTTGGTTACTGTGATTTAATAACCGGTCTGAAAAATTGGGACTGCACCTCCCCTTTACTTGGCTTCTGTAAAAGTGGCCCTGGTGTGACTGGTGTCCCATCCAGGGTGTATCCCTCCTTGTGCCCATTGATTTCCTGGTTTAGTTCCGGCTCCGTCCTGACCCTGTACTAGATAAGAAAATAACCAGTATAAGAAAATTGATGCACAGATGTTGTAGTTTTATAGATTATTATAATAAGTTTTTATTTTCAAGATCTTGCATCAGCTCTTGAAATTCATTTATTATTTCACGGTTCTGTCTATCAATATGTTAATTAACTGATTGCTTTAGGAATCGACCAAACAGCTGGTCCATGAAAGTTAATCTGTTTCAAGTGAGCATGTCATGTTTTAAATGAGACAGAATTGAATAAACATTGTATAGATTTATAATACTTAATTTACATTTGCATATACGCACCCACATACAGAATGCGCACATATACTATATACTGTATATGCTGAAAAACATTAATAAAATTGCAGTTAATGAGTAATGGAAGTAATTGTGGTAGTTTAATATTTCTCAGAGAATCTCGTCCCAAAACAAACGCACTAGGTTAAAGTTTTGATGAAGTTAGTAATGAAAAAAGTGAATGGATTTTTTTTCCCCCAAGTCTACAGGATCTCTGTGCAATACAGGACACGTCCACTAAAAGATTAGTAGACAATAGCCTGTCAGCTAAAGGGTTAAAAAACACTGAAAAACATTAAGTTAAATAAAAACTGAAATTGACAAAAGTTTCACCAACAATGGGAAATACTATTTACCCAATCTTCCCTTTGTTGTTCTAAAATGTTCCCCATGACTGAAACCATAAAGAATGTTAGAAATAGTGATGTATTTTTTTATGTATTAGCTAGGTCTTATTTTTTATAGAGACATTGAAAAATACACAGGAATGAATCTAACCAGCATTTTGAGACTGATGCATTGTTTGCTGTAATAAAAACATTAAACCACAGAGCATGATAAAAAGACGAGATCCACAAACATCTTGTTTTTACTTTACGTGAGGCATACACAAGGATCGGGTAATTTGGAACCTCAACATCAATTTACACAAACATGTCATGAACTCTGAAAAATTTAACTTGGAAGAGAAACAGTTTCTCTCTCGAACAAAATTCCCTAAAAAAAAAAAGAGTAGTAGAGATAATCATGCGCATTACAAAGCGCTGCTGTCAGTTTGAATGGCTTTACAGTATTGATACAGAAACGAAAGCAGCCCTCTAGAGTGTGCTACAGTGTTTCTCAGGGGGCCTTTTTCAAATCAAAATGTGAACAAGGCCTGACTGTACTGACTGTTTTGTTTGCTGGTGCTTTTGTTTTTTTCTGTTTCTTTTTGTTTTGCAAACACCAGGTTTCTTGTTTGAAGCTGGTGCAAACCTTGATGCTCATGAGAATAAGCTTCAAAGAAAAGCCCCTGCAAGGTTTTTCTATTTGTTGATTTGACATTCTCAGCATGCGCTTTGATAATTTAAAAGCTGTTTGTGAAGAACTGTTTGGGAACATGAGGTAAAAGTGCTGTGCCATTGTTTCTACAAGAGGTGATTGAGATTTATGAAGAAAAAATTAAACCACTTGATTTACGTACAATTACGTTCATTCAGAGCTGAAGATTTTCATTTCTTTCTGGATTTTGGCATTTCCCACAGTCTTTTGTCATGCACTTTCGACCTTCAGCTAGTTACTTGATTAAGATTTGAGGTGTGAAGCTGATTTAACAGTGCACAGATTTTAGTGGGAATAATAATATTTCAATTTATTTTGAGAGAAAGAGGCCATTTTAAACTATGGCAGTATATTTGAAGGTGGCACAGTGGAAAAATGGTGAAACAGCAGAAAAAAATAACTAATGTAACTGCTTAATTTTGTATTAGTTTGTAGTAAACAGTGGTGATTGTATCTGTTTTAATGGCAACAGATTTAAGGTAGGAAGGAAAACTCCAAAATGTCTACAATGCCGATTTTCCTGCCCTTTTGTCCTTTTTTTGTGTACAATTTTTCAATACTTGTTATTGACATACTGTAAGGGAACTGAATACTCTTTCAAACAGATTTCTCAATCCACACTTATCAGCAAATTTAGAAGTGAAAAGAAATTCAAATTTGCTCCGAAAACAGAAAGCAATAATTGTTTTCTAGGGCAAACTGTCATATTCAGCAAATAATCCAAAAAAATACAGAAATAAATTTTCCTGTGTGAACATTTACTGGTTTCTACCGTAGATTGGCTCAAAACTACTGTAGATGCATTTAAATAATCAATTCATAAACATACAGTAATTTGGATGGAAAAGAAGCATAACCCTGCATTTTGAATTCTTATTTTTCATGTACCGTAATGTTTCAGGTCTTCGGAAGTTAAGGACGGGGAAGAGAATGAGCACTTGGCCACGCGGCGAGAGGATAGTACGGACGTGTTTAGCTCCCAGTTTGAAAGAATTCTGGAATCGGACCGCTTGAAAAGCACCCTTTACAGCAGCCTGGACTCGCTCGACGCCCTCTCCTCTGCGGACGAGGCGGACCTCTACTTCAGCTTCGACCTGCCACTAACCCCGCTGATTCAGCAGCGCCTCAAGGAGAGCAGCCAGCTCCTGCAGAGTGCGGCCGAGTTGGGAAGGCAGGAGGTGCTGAGGGTGGCCAGCGAGGACAGAGGCGGAAAGGCCACACTGGAGGTGTCGACGTCGTACTTGGAGGGCTCCCCAGGAGACTCGCTCAGCACCAGCCAGTCGGACCACCTTTTAGATAAATATTCAGCCGGACCTGTTGTCAATGGAGTCCTCGAGGGCACAACTAAAGCCAAAAAGGACTCTGGGTGGCTTCACTCCTGTCTGAGGTAAGGCAAGCCGCGGTTCCATTTCTTACAGCGAAGACTGGCTTTCTGTTCACAGAGTAAATACTGGCTTCAGCACTTGTTATTTCAGAGTTTGTTTTACTCTTTTTTAATGCTTGCTTTAGTCCGACTCACAGGTAGTTTCATTTCTTCCACAGTGCTTCTGATCTCAGCTCTCAAAGACCCAGACCTCTGTGAGATGGAAGAGGTTGTTGCATTGAACTTCAAAGTTAGGGTCTCAGATCCAGGTCCAGTGTTTTCTAATCGGCGTATCAGGGAGCTGAACCCACAGACTTGATCATCAGATGCATGTGCAGTTATTTTTAATGAAAAGCAAATGACTGCTCCAGTACAAACGTTTGTTCATCAAAGTTACTCATGATCTCATGAGGAAATTACTCATGATTTCAAAGATCATAAAGGCTGATCCTGAAATACTCTTAATTGGCATCTAGATTGTCTTTTCATTGTGGTGATATTTGGCAAATATGTACTACTTTATTATTGTAGCTGAGTGTAGTGAACTGAACAGTACTATGAGCGATGAGAAGTGGCAAAATACATTCTCTCCTTGACTGTCCTCTGCTGGAATAAAATGGTACTGTTTGATGTGGAACAATTAGATAAGGTAAACCTGATAGATGATTAGATGACCACTTCAGGTGTACATGTAGCTCAGATAAAAATGGCAAAACTGAGAAATTCACTGAGAGATAAAGATGAAAATGTCTTAAATTCTTGACTCCTAAAGAATAACGAGCTGTATACTGCTCTGTGAGACAAAAGGTGAAACCTCTTATAAAATACAATGTCAGTGAACCTCTTAAAAAATGGTTGCTTTGATGATATTATGAGCAAGCACTTGTGTTCATATATTCAGAGATTACAGTAAGATTAAAGATTTTGTATTCTGTTAACTATGTTGAGAAGGCAAGTGAAAATGTTTAGAGAGCCCTTTTCTCCACAATTTGTGGGTTTGAGGAAATGACATTTATTAAGGACTTGTGTTCTTTAGTTTAAAAATGAATATTTAAACAGCTGTATGTACAGTTTGCTTTGGAAGTAATAGTGCAGGTCATTGTGTAATAATTACCTTCACTTAATAATCAAAAATTAAATGTGGAATTATTAAATGTGTAACAGTGGTTTTGTAATGTGCCTTGAAAACATTCACTGTACTTCACAGTTTTTCTATTTGGGTGATTTGAATAATAAAAGATAATGACAATTACAAAGCATCTTTATCAAGAAACTTAACTCCTTTGTTCTAATTCTGGCAGGGCATTATTTCTAATTTAGAATTTGAACTGGCACTGGCATTTCCATCACTTTAACTTTGTAAGAAAAGAGCAGCAGGGATTTTTATAACTGTGAATACTGTTAAGACAGCACATGTGCGGTATCATGTGTAATTCGTTTTCAGGCAGTTGACTAGACTTTTAAAGGACAGCTCTCCACATCAGAGTAAACTGCCAGGCAATTTGGAACACAGACGAAAGGCTTCACAGCTGTCTTGTGTTAATGAGAGGCCATGTCAGTCGTAGGCCTATGTCTCAAAACAGCACTGAGTGCACAGCCAAATATGGATACATTATATTTAACATAAGTCAATTCCTATAATTTTACTTTATTCTATTAAGAAATTAGAATCCAATTATACTTATAAGGAGATTTTATTTTCTATATTCAGAGATCCATCAAGTGACATGTGGTAAAGTAGTTTTATTCTTTTGTAATTGAGTTGGGAGTAAAATGACATGCAATACAGACTTAAATGAGCCTTGTGCTGACATCCAATTCCCTGTAGAATCTGCTCATTTTTCAATGACAAGGTAGTCTGAAAGAGATTGCTGGATCCAACATCTTCCCCAGTGATTGCTCTCTGGTCAGTCTGCTACAGAATATCAATTTGCTTAGCAGTCCCTTGGATGACTTTACAGAACTGCTTAGAAAAATGAAAGTTCAAAAAGTTAATTATGCCATTAAGAAAGGAAAGTGATACACACTCTAACCTTTTTAAAGAAATATCTCATTTTCATATAAGAACATTAGAGCAATACAAAAGTACAATTGATCTCTGCATAATGAAATAGGTAGTGTATGATCACTAAATGTTTATTGTATCGATCCCTGTCCTGTATGTGTGATATTTTTTTTCTGTAACTTTTTTCAGTATATACAACAAACTAGATACCTGTAGCTGTTTGAAAAAAGGCTATGTTGTCTTTTGTTGTTTTGTCTTTTTTTTTAAGTACTAGGCCTATGACATTGCCTACAGGAAACAGAGAATTCCAAATTGACCTGTGTTAGGATTGCACTAAAACAAGTGGCAAAAAGACATTGTATAGTACATGATTAAAGACACAGTACTTACAGTATGTCAATCTGGTATGGCTAATATGTAGATAGTGTAGCTCACATCAGGAAACTTGTTCAATTTAACATCCATACTGCTTTATGGTGTCCACTCATCCACTTTCTAACTGGAAATCTGGGTAATGGGGGATGCCTGAGACCATCCCAGCAAGCAGTGGGTGAAAGGCAGGATACACCCTGGACAGGATTCCAATCCATCACAGGGTACAACATGCATTCACAGGGCTAACTTTCTGAGAAGGCAATTAATTGCCAAGTTTATCTTTGGGCTGTGGAAGGAAACTGGAATACCCAGCAGAAACCCGCCCGAACATGGGGAGAACATGCAAACTCCACGGAGATTGCCCCCGCCGTTCTGAAATTAAACCCAGAGGCCCTGGCTGTGCGAGGCAGCAGTGGTGACCACTGAGAAACTGTGCCGTCCACTTTCTGGTGTGTTTACTAATATACTAATACTAGTATATTAAACTAGATGCACTGAGTGTCTAATGGAAAACATTTTGATTTGTTTTACCATTTGGATCAGTGAATACTGAAAGGAAAGGTTTGGTAATACTGCCAGTCCATGTTCCTTTCCTGTGATGAAAGAATGAGCTGGTAGTCATATTATGGTAACTTCAGTTACTTACGTCTTGTCGTTAAAGTACGAGAGGTCTGGAGAGAGAATCCACTGATTGTGTTCTGGTAAATAAAGGTCAAATCCCTCTTGTGAAAGAAACATATGGAACAAGGAGGTGAAACAAAATAAGAGAAAATTGCTACTGTAGATGGAGTGCTTCCTCCTTCCTCAGTTTGCTCATTTCCTTTCCTATGCTACTCTTGAACACTGGACATTAGACAAATTGTTAATGTATGAAAGTAAAATACCATTATATTTACCATTATACAGTATATTACTTGTATATGGATATACAGATTTTGCTCCTTTTGGTGCAGGGTTAATGTTTTGGGGAGAAAATGAATGTTTAACCTCATTCATTGAAACGTCCCGATTTTTTAAGTTGCATTTAACTTGAAAGATACTGTGAGGAAGTTTGGTCTTTAGCAATGTCACAACAGTCTTTCCACTTTCACCCACCCAGTTTACCACTCATGCCTGGTGGTCTCTCAACAGACTCCCTTAACTGTTAACTTATGTAACAGAATGCAGTCTATAGGCAGACATTTAGAGCCCTCTATTGTTTTCGTCTTTCGGTGTTACTTCTGATTCATAGCAGCTTCACATGCAATGTTTATGTCGCCAATATGCCTGTTTTCTTCCTTTTCAGATGGTTACTGAACCACACCATTGTAATTTACTGATTGCTGCAACATTTGAACTTGTTTAAACCTCATCGTTGCTGGTGTGGGAAGTGGGGCCACTGTAGAAGTATGATTTTCTCTTATGCGTTTGTGGGCAACAACACCACAGTTCACTGTAATGATGCCTTTTGTTACGTACAGTATTGTCCGTGTTTGGAGCGCCTGTTGGAAGTGCTGTGTCAAGTGCTTATGGCTTATGGATACTCTCTCTTGTTTCCCCAAGCGCAATTGGTAAAATGCCATTGGGACCTGGAGATTTATTAATTTTGAGTACTGCTTAAACACTTCTCTTCTATGGTTATACTGTTTCATAAAGAACTTTCACAGCCTGGGGCCAGTTGTTGACTTCTTCTTCAGTGAACACCTGAGTGAAATACTCATTTAGCACATTTCTGTTTGTTTGTCTAGAAGTTTCCCATTATTGTTCTGCACACATTTTACAGCACCCTTTGTTGTTCTTTTGCTGTTGAATTTACTGAAAGGATCTATTATTTATCGTAGCATCCAGTGCAATAATCCTTCTCTGTTTCGGTGTTTATAATATCCTGTTTTATATGTTTGCAGTTCATTGGGCACCTTTTCTTTAACTGGATTCTGATTTTATCTAATGTTTTCCTGAAGTGCTACTTTTTCCTTTATATTTGTACATGTTGATTTTTTTTGTAACTGTTAGCACTATATCTGTAATGTAGAGATCTTAAATATGAAAAACTTGAATGTCCAAAAATATTTAAATGGCCTTTAATCACGACCGTGGATCAGGTAAAAGAGATTAAAAGGAACAAAATCTGCATGCTTTTTTTCAGACAATGGTTTTCCTAGACTTCTCTCTCAAGGAGCACTCCAGTTGTGCATACTGTATATCGTGTACTGTATATGTCTCTGTTAATTTGGGGTCCCACCACCCCTGATATCTTTGATTGGCTGGAAAGACAATGCAGCCAGGTGTCTATCTTCCATTGCCCAAGCCAGCTCAACCTGGGGTATAAGGCTGGAGCACGATGCTGAAGGCTGAGAGGGAGATGCTTGCATTGGTTGCGTTTCTAGCTTGATTGGCAGGATCTGACCATTCCTGAGCCCAAGAGGGAAGAGCTGCCCCCTGGCATAGGTCTGGTTCTGAGCAAGCCATAAAGGTGAAGGAGAATGGAAGAAACTCCTGTCTGCCATAACCTCTTTAATGGTGGCTACTCCTGATCCAAGAAGAGCACCTGTGAAAAGCAGAACTAGTCTTTGCTGGGAGTGGTAGCTGAATCGGAAGTTGACCATTTGGCCCACCAGATACCAAGACAACAGCGTAATTAAGAGGCTTCACCCTGGGAGCCTGA